CAAACTTTTCTCATCTCAGGGCTCTTACCCCATCAGTGCTGTGGGAGGACCCTCCTGATTACATCCTGCTTCCTCACAGGCTCCCGAAGCTACTCACCTGCCATGACATGGAATGCTTTGGGAGCAGAGGGCAGGCCCAGGGTGCAGCACACATAGCAATTCATCTCTTGGTCAGCAGTTGAGGAGAGTGAACCACTAATAAATACATTTAACCAGCACCACAGAAAACATGAAATACTTATTTGGGATAGAGACTTGTGGGAACTCTGGATTATCATTGCTTTTTTTGTACAGACAGTTTATCAAAGGACTTTCAGATAAGGGATTTTCAGATTTCAGGGAGCAGGGATAAAGTTTAAAGGACAAATAAATAAATGAAATGCTCCTATTCAAGTAAGGAGCCTGGCCTACCAAACTTGAGGCTTCATTTCTGTGGCTTTAGTTCAAGTCCAAATCTAGTTACTTGCCAGTTTTTACTCTGTTGGCTTTTGACATACTGCCTATTTGACTTTGCACTGAATTTTAACCTTTACCTTCCCATACAAATGTTGGTAAAATAAGAGGATGCCCACACGTAACATGAGAGCTAAAAGCCTCCAGCAGGGAGTGTCCTTTGTTTTCTCTTTGTCTGTGTGTTACACACACACACACACACACACACTCTTTGCCTTTCTGTCCCACTCCAAAGGATGTCTGAGATATGTGTTTCAGCATTTAAAAATCTGCAGTGCAGCTCATTTTATGGACTCAAGGTTTTACACACAAGCCAGGAATGGATTGCAGTGGTGACCCCAAAGTCAGTAACTCATTGGAGTCATTTTGGGGGAAGAGCCAAATGTTTGGTTTCCATTCACAAACCACTCTTGTCTTTGCACCACCTGATACTGACCAAGCCAACCTGCAAAGCGAGTTATTTCATGGCTAGGTGAGAGCAAGAGTAATACCTGAAAAGACTTCTGAACACTCAGTAAGATTGTTTATGAAGTGCCCTGGAAACACCCAAGCCAACCTCAACAAAATTACTGTGTTTAAAATTAACCTCAGAGCTGTGGTAACCACTTGGTAGAGCATACAAGGGTCTAAGAGCCCACCCACCCCTTCCTTCCCCATGCCCCCTGCCCCCAAAAAGAAGAAGAGGAGAACTGAAAAGAAACGATTGTAGGTAGCAATACAAGACATTAGGACACTGTCCACAATGACAGGCTTACAGCATGTAAATACATTTATTCTATATGTAAGCAACTGAAATAGCAAGAAACCCAAGGAAAGGACATGTTTTGCCCTGTGGGTACTGCAGACTCCAACATGTCTCATGAGTGTCTGCATTTCTGCCAGCGAGACAGAAAAAAGTTTTGGTCTCACAGTAAAGCAAATCTTGACTGGAGACACCTTCACTGCTGCAAAATTTTCAAGATCCACTGAAACAGCATTTAGGTCTTGCACTGTTAGCAAAACACAGTGGATCAGTTGTGATCATAAATTTAAGAAAAAAAAAGAGAAAAACCCAACCGAACCCCAAATTTACCCTATACACTGACAGTCACCTTTACAAGAACACAACACAAGAAGAACTGAAGAAAAAAGGTGAAAAGGACTGCCTCCAATAAATGTTTCTTACTCGGAAATTAAAGGTTTTCCTTGAAGTCAGTAGATATTTTATATATATTTATATAATATATATACTATTTATAGCGCTAGCGATCAACATGTAATGAAGAGATGGTGTGAAGAGCAGCAAAACTGCTCCAGTACAGAGCCAAAGGTGAACAACTAAAAGGAAAAGCGTTGTAAAAAATAGTAATAACTGGAGGATAAGAAGCCTGCAGCCTTTTTTTTTCTCTTAAAGCAAATGTGCTCACCTGGCATAAAATCTTACAACAACTTTTAAGAGTCAGCTCTGCCTGCCAAAGGTCTTTGTCAGATCTACCCCACAGGAAGCCTTTCCCTGTGCGACGAGGTGGCAGTGACACACTGGAGCCGGGGCTCGGCCCCACGAGATGGCACTGTGTCCATGCAATCCAGGCACAGGGTCTGCTGCTGGGTTTTCTCCCACCAAAAATAATATCCCGAGCCGATCTGGCTGCCCTTGCTTCCTGCCCGCTCTCCCTGGGGTAGCCGGATGGGGATGCTGTTGTGAATACCACCAGCCAGAGCTCTGCCACTGCCACTCCCCCCAGAAAAAAAGAAAAAAATGAGCAAAATGAATGCAGGGAAGTGTGAGGCGAGGTGAAGTGGGAGATGCTGCTAGCAGCAGTGGCAAAGAATGGGTGCAGAGCTGCTGGGATGAGCTGTGGCTCTGTGGAGGAACCTTCCCCTGCTGCTCCCTGGCCTGCCACGGCTGAGGCAGCCCAAGGGGCTGTGCTGGGAGCCTGCAGAGGCCTCTGGAGACAGTGCTAGAGAAACCATCCAGCCTGTGATTGCAGCAGGGCATTGCAGGTGGTTTTGGGCTGGAAGAACAGCAATTACACCACCCAGTGACAGTCATGCTGCTGCCCAAGTCACGTTCAGTGATGAAGGGTTAAGTTCTTGACCTCCAGCCAACTCTGTGGATGCTCCTCTTAATCAGAGTGTGCATTTTTTCTTGCAATAAATCCTCTGGGCTGTGGAAGGAAAATGCCCCAGAATACTCTGAGAAAGTTGTTCATCTGCAAGTTGTTTCTCTTGCAGAAGGCATCAGAACACAGGTCAGAGGGCTGGCCAAAGGAGCATCAACTCACAGCAGTACAGATAAATATGAGAGACTTTGTGGCCCTGACCCTGGTGAGAAGGGTGCACATGCTGCCCACCTAGAAAAATCTGAGAGCTGGGGAGCATCAGTGAGCCTGGGAATCAATCAACACAGACTGAACTGAAAAGGCCAAAGGGTTGAAGGACTGTTCATCTCCTGCACCTGCCTTGAAGAGGAGTCAAGGAAGGACACATGGGAAAGGTGAAGAAGCACAAACAAAACACAACTGGTTACACCTAAAGATGGCATGGCAGGAAGAAAAGCTGAGACCTACCTTTAAGAGCCATTTTAGCCCCCTAAGGTATGTAAAAGATGTGGAGAAAGGGCAGAGCTGGAAGCCCCAGTCCAACCCTCCAGAAGCTGAAAGCAAAATTTCCATTAGCATTGCAGTGGGCTGCACCAGATGCCCAAGGTGAAAAGGAAGATGGTTGTTCACTGAGAGGATGCCCATGGCATCTCCACATTAAGAGAAGGTGGGGCTTACACAAGCAAAATGCACACAGATGTTGAAAGTTACAATGCATATCCTCTGGTCTCCAGTTCTGACTGAAATGCTGGTTTGCAAACTGCCTGGTTACCTCTTACAAGGAAGGGAACTTTTTGTGCTCACTGCCTGGCTGTCAATCAAAACCTAACTCACTGGTCAGGGAACTGAGAAATTATAAGCAAAAAGTGACAAGCCTATGGAAATGTGAAATGGAGAAAGAGGTCAGATTAAATTTTCTTTTCATTTTGACCAATGACATTTTCAGTTACCTTCAAAGGTGCAATCTGGAAAGCCTTGAGGAAAGCAAAACCAAAATCACAAAAGAGAATAAGCTAACTCCAGTCTCAGGAAGCATATGGAATGGTAATGCGTATGTGGGCAGGGACATAATGTGTGCACAACAACAATAACCAGGGCCTGGCTGGAAACCTGGAGTGGACAGGTTGGAGCAGAAAGCCTTTCTGTGCCAGACACTAATGACAGCCCAGTCTGCAGTAAAACTACTGCAATCTTATGTGCTGTCAGGTACCAAAGTCAGAATTTTCACTGAACAGAACAAAATACATTTGCAGTGACAACCATTTTTGGTTTGCTCCTTTTGCAAAACTCCCACCTCACATGTTTTGTGGGGGCTGCAGAGGGACAAGTGTTCTCTGGTCAGCTATTGAGGACTGCACTGCCCTGCCCAGGCAGCAGTGGTGACAGGAGCAGCAAAGGCAGCAAAACTGCAGCACACGGGATTTCAACTTCACCACTCTACTGCCCTGCACTGGCCCACAGAACACAGGCTTCCCTGGCTGCAGCAATGCCTGGGAATATCCACGGAGATCCATCAAGTGCATCTCACACAGGAGTGACCCAACAGAGGGCTGGGCTGTCAGCAGCCCTGGCACAGGAAGCATTGCTGAAGGTGGTGGGTTTCAGTGAGACCTGCAGCTCTGTGGGGAGCTGCTGGCTCTTAGAACGCTACAAAACAAAGCAAAAACTATGAAGGCCCACCTTGGATGCACAAATCAGGTGGTGGATGTCAGTGCCTCCACATGCTTTAGCACCTGTGGTCAGGAACCACTGTCTGTGTGTATTTGGACTGGGAGGCCATCTCTGGTTCACAGACACCTAGGACAGGACTGCTTCTTGGAGCAACCTGGAGGCACCAGGGTGGTGCAAAACATGCCAGGGTCAGACACTTGGTGGGTGAAGATCAGCAGAGTGTCACCAGTTGATGCTGCCTTGGCACTGGGCATGGAGCACAGCAATGCTAGCATGAGGTGAGCAGCCTCTGTGGGCTGGCAGGGGACTTTGGAGGAGGAGTACAATGACAGGGGAAGGGAAGGACAGACAGCATAGACAAGGACATGTCTTAAAAGACCTTCAGGGAGGGGACAATAGGTTCCATAAAACCAGAAATTATTAATTCTGCTGCTGACAATATTAGAAATAAAGTAATAATGGTCATAATAATAGTCATTATAATCCTTGCACTAGATACTAATCAGTAAATAACTATCATAGCGACTTCTTTTTTTAATTTTTTTTTTTTTTGGGGTTTCTTCCCCCTCCCTTCCAACCACTCTGAATTGCATATCTTGCCCCTCATATAGCAAAGGGATGGAAAGGGTGTGAATTGAAAATTAACTCAGATCCCTCACTCCCCACTGTCTTAGAGCTATTCTCCACTCAGGCTGAGTGGGACTGTCTTGGGGAAGAAAGGGAACATTTTGTGTGTTCCTGCTTATCAGCCAGAGTACCTGCTTTCCAGATGCACACCCTGATATTCTTGGTTTGTTTTTTTTTACAAGTAGGTCTAGGAAACAGAACAATGACAGGAGGATCATTGTGAGACAACCAATGTGCAGAATTGTAGCCAAAATCTGAATTCACCAGAAACCAATAAGCTGAAATAGCCACAACCAACTGTCCATAGCCTTGTCTACAATGGCTTTAAACAAAAAATATAAAGAGCCATGGACAGTTTCCTTACCCCTGTCCAGAATTTGATGTAAACAACATCCATAGAAACTGGGATTGTTAAGAAAGTTTATCCATATATCTGGATAGCAATAAAAAGCGTTTCCTAGGAAACTGTAAAAACCTGTACCAAGCAGTGTACAGCCAAGCCGAGAGGAACATTAGGTTGATTTATATTTTCAAGGTACAACTTTGCATGATCTCTTTCTGATCCTGTGATAATGTACAAGGAGAGCACATGTGAAGGTCAGGGCTGGTTTTTTTTGTTTGTTTGCTTTCTTCTCTGAAACGTCTCTTGTGTAACTCATTGGTCTGGGTTTTCATTTCAATTCTCGTTTGCAATAACAGGGCAATACCGCTCCCTGTGTCTGTCCTTCCTGGTCATGCCAAGGCTGCATTAGTAATTTCCTTCTGCTGCCAAAGAAACAACTGTTTCGTGTCTTCCCATTTCTTCAAGAACTGCTGCCAGCATGCTCAGGTTGCCATCAGGGAAATTTTGGGCTTCCCAGAGATCCAGGATCACCCCGGTGGGACTTGATTTCGTGGCAAAATAATTTAAGTACCTGCAATGAGCCAAAAGGAAACTTGGGGTTTTTTTTGAGCCACATGAAAACTACCTAAATTATATGATTTCAACCCATTCCTGTTGTTGGTGCTGTCAAGGTGCTCATCCCCTGTGCAGTCAGCCTGACCAGCCTGTACATGTGCTTTCAGTGGGACTTTCACCAGGATGTTTTTGCACATACCCTCCTCCCTAGGATCTTCCCTGCCTGCCCATGTGTGGGCAACCCTGCTCACCTGTCCAGTTTCAGCTTGTGGGCCAGCATGCGCCAGTCGTGGCCTCTGGTCTGGGGAGCATCCAGGCTGCTGCACAGCTTCTGCCTTATAGGGTGGGGGATGCTGAAAGCACTGGGCCCCACGATGGTGGTGACAGTGCCCGCTGAGTCCATGGGAGGATAATCAATGCCAGTAGGTTCCTGAGATTGGAGAGACAGAAAAAAAGCCTGAACAACCCATCAGTTCTTTTAGTGAGTGAAGAGACAATTGTGGAATGACATCCTCTGAGACTCAGAGCTTTTATTTGCAGCCCTCTGCTAATCTAGTAAACACTAACATAAACATGTTAGCCCACTGGAAAACAAATATTTATATTCAGCTTTGGGTAGGCAAAAGGTTTTTTTCCTCCTCTTTTTTTTGAGGGTGAATATAGGATTAGAACTCTGGTGCTCTTGGCACCAACTTGTTGGATTATTTCATTAAATGAGTTAAGCAGCTAATAGTTGCTATACAGTTGTTTATTGTAGAAGCACATTAGTCTCAAAAGCAAAAGTTACAGATGCTAAAGTCTATGTTAAGTTTTGGTATAGAGTCTTAAATAGAAGCAGAAGCTGCTTCTGGAGCCCCCAGCAGGGTCGATGAAGCTGCAGCAGCTCCTGTCTTTTTATTCAGTGTTGATGACAGCGGCGAGAGAGCAGAGCAAAGTAAATGGCAAAAAGCCATGGCAAAAAGCACCAGCTCTCTCTAATGCATGTTTTTATATAGAAACTTCCCAATAAGCTAAGACACAAACTCAGACCACCACTTTTTAAACTATTAGAATTCTAGTTTCTTAGCATGCCAGGCTACGTATAAACTATGCATATGGTCTATCTTGTTCTATTTGAAAAATGTAAGTAATATTCTTACTATAGCTTTATTATGTCTAAAACTATGTTCTTGGAGCCTCCATGGAACCCCTATAGTATCTAAGACTATGCTTTTCAACCTTCACTGGAACTCGAATTTTTACACTAGCATCTAAGACTTTACTTACTAAAAGCACTTAAAACCCATTCTTACTTACTTGCTTGCTTATACTAAAACTTAAACTTATACCTCTAGTTTATGTGTGAGTAGCTTAACATACTAACTTACACCTCTACCTTATGTGTGAGTGGCTTAACATACTTCAATCCATCCAAAGGTTTTAATTCAATCCCTACACTTTGATTTCTCTCTGAAGAATTCAGAGAGACTCCTGCCTTGCTGACTCCAACAGGTGAATATTTTTATAGCTGGACAAAATGGCCAGCTTAATTAATCACTTACTGGAAATAGTGAAGGGTGAGTCACTTTGACACATTTCAGAGCAAGCTGCTAATACTAGAGCAGAACTGGGTTTTCCTGGCTTGGCTGACAAGGCCCCCTTCCCAGAATTTTCCCAAGCCCCCAGTGTCCCACCGAGCCAGCACCAGGCTCACATTCCTGACATTCCTCTGGCAGTACCCAAGCTCTCTGAAGCCTCTGATGCTGTGCAGACCACAGAGGCAGTCAATACCACCCCAGGCACAAGCTGAGCCCTCATCTTCATGCAGCTTTGACTCCGGAAATAGATGGAGAGCATGTGCTCAGGGCAGGGGTGGGGTAGGTGGGGGCCAGGCATCACCCCTTCTCCCCAAGACACGTGCTGTGCTCCAAGGCAGTGTGGCAGCAAGCATGTCAAGGGAAAAGCCATCTCCAAAGCCAGCTTGTGCCCTGTAGGTGTGGTACTGATGCTCTTTGATGTGGTCCTCCCAGCTGGAGGGGTCCCCATGACGCCACTGCTAACACCACTGGAAATAACAGCAGTTGGCTCTTCTGGGCAAGGATTTTGGCTTTTCCTTGGCCTGGATGGATTTAGTACCCACAGGCATGGTAGCTGGAGGGACAAATATAGCTGATCAATTTAGATGATTTGGTTTGTTTGGAACAGCAAGGTCCTGGAGGGACCACGACGGAAAAAGCAGCAAACATGGCTGGTTCTGCCCTAATGCTGCTCAGTCTATTTCACAATTTGGTATTCTTTTCTAGTAGAAGTGGGGGAGCTGATTCTCCTCCCCCTCTGCCAGATCACAGCCCCAGGCAGCTAGAAACACTCGTGCTAAAGATTTGTCATTAAATATCAATTTGTTTTCTCCTCTGTGAACTGTCTTGTTGCTTCGTGTCAAATTGGCTGTTGGGAAGGAGCTGTAGTACCTGTAACAGTCTTAAAAGCCAGGTGGCTCCTGGCTGAAGCTGCAATCACAAACCCCCCCAAGGATTTTAATGAAGATGCTCACAGTCCTGTGCAATCTCTGGTTTACCCGCCAAAAATGTATTCAGAAATGAAAAGGGGAGAGCCAGTTTCCATGAGCAATGCACAGAATTAAACCTTCTGCCTCGACTGTCTTATCTACACCAAATAATTATCTTCCACTGTATAAATATGGTGGGGGGTTTTTGTTTGTTTTGTTTTTGTTTTTTGTGGGGTTTGTTGTTGTTGTTGTTTTGTTGGGGTTTTGTTGTTGTTGTTGTTGTTGTTTGTTTTGGTTTTTGTTTTTTTGTTTAAGACATGGCATTTTAGGCAATCAGTGAAATTTCTAGCCAAGGAAGGTTTACACCACCCTGTAATGACCTCAATTAATATGTCTGTACTTGGGTGGCCTGGATCACTGCCTGTCCCAACCCCAATGCCCAAGAACCAGGCAGCAGGCACTGCCCAAGAGCCAGAGAAATGACATGCCTGCTGCTGATGCTGCCTGCAGTCTCACCTGCACTAGGAAGTTGGAAGTGGCAGTAGGGTGGTGGCAGTGGCATTGCAGACAGATAACCCTTTCTTTATATTCTGGGCCAAAGGACACAGATGCTGCCCTGGCTCTCAAGGTGGCCTGCAGCCCCAGGGGCTTCAGGATTGCTGCAGAAAGGGCCCAGGTATCTGTAGCATTGCCCTGTGGCTCTTTTGTGTATCAACAGCACAAGATAAAAACAGGGCTTCAAAAATGAATCAGGAGAGACCTTTATCACAATTTTCCTCCTGCTTTGCAAATGTGTGTGTTTTGGCACTCACTTGTATTTGTATTTTTGAAGTCCCAGTGGTAGAGACTGCATAAAGCCAGTATAAAATAGTTTAATCTGCAGAAGTTTTACATCCTTTGCTGGGGACTGAAAAGAAAGCCTATCAAGGGAGGATGCAGGAAACTGCGTTACTAAATTTTTATTGCAGGGTGACAGTGGCAGAGAGACAGATACAGTAATAAGGAAAGATGCCAGCACAGTCCTGCAATGCCTAACCCCTAGCTGGATACCACTAGCCTAACCTCAGAAGAAAATATGAGGAACCAGAACTATGGTCCCTGGTCTGATGTCTTTATCACGCTTCTAGAGGCATACATTGGTTTCCAAGTTGCAGCTATTACCCTTTTAGGTGATTACCCTTTCATCAAATTTCTGAGTTATAGGATTTTTCCCTAGTTGACCCTATATTCCAGCTCTTAGCAGCCCAAGGTTCTCCTGTTCCTTGGTGGAGTTTGGGAATATCACAAGGTGTCAACAATGACGGGTAGTTTTGCAGGAGGCATCCCTGATCGCAGTGGTATTATTCACTCCCTCTATTCATCCTTGATGGATAGGATCACAGCACAAGACAAGAATATTATACTGTTCCCTCTGAATCTATTACCAGGCCCTATTACACACAACCAGCTGAAGATGATTATAGTGTATACTTGCATTTCATTAAGTTACTTTCAGTTCTTTCTCTTCTCTGTGAGGTTAAATTAGTGATTACCTCAATGCGGCACTTATTACAATAATTGTTTATGATGCTTGTTTTACCATCTGTCCTTAATGCTGTGCAGTCCCCAGATGAATCTGTAACTTTACACCCACTAACCAAGCAGATGTTGTGGGTAATGGTGCTCACTGTCAGAGCCCTACAGCACAAGTAACTTTTGTCTCTGCTCTCACAGCCCATTCCCAAGCCAGTCAGCACTAATTGCTGCCTGAGAGTCTGCTCCTTGTAGCTGCCAAGGGTACCAGGGATAAAACCCGCCAGCACATTCACTGAAGTCAATGCCACTTCACACCTGAATTATTGTTCAATCTCAGCCCCAATCTTGACTTCCCCATGAAGCAAAAATTCTCCACTTGCTACAGAGCATTGGCAAAGATATCCCCAAACTTATGATAGTATTTCTTCTGGAAAATGTCAGCCATCAAAAGAAAAATTGCCAAAGCCAAAATCAGGATTTGTAGTAGTAGCAAAATATGAGGGGAAAAGTTTACTGCAACCAGACCATCTGGTATTTCCTACTGCACAGCGGCTATTACATGAGATCAGAGGGGAGTGGCTCATGGAAAACACAACACTGACATTTTCTTATTCTCTTTTCTCTTTCTCCAGGGAATTGTCAGACATGAAAAATGTCATGGACTGTCAAGGAAACAGGACCATAAGAGTTTCATGAGATGCTGTAGGGCATGGTAGGAAAAGAGCTCCTCCACATAGACACAGAAAGGCAGCACTAGTAGAGAGACCAAAGCTGCTTTCCTTCCACCCTTGAAGGAGGGATGCTTCCTTCCAGGTGAGAGAAACTAAGGAAAAATGCAACAGGAGAGACAAAGCAAATCTTAATCTATTCTTTATGTCCATATCAGCAGTCAGGAGCAAAATGGGAAGCACTAAAGTGATAGCAAGGGGAAAGGTTTTACCTTCTTAGCCATCCCATGTTCCTGCAGTTGGATAGAAAAGTACACAAATGTCATTTACCTCTGAGACAGAGCAGTTGAGCTGGAAGATCTGTCCTTCTCCTTCGACCTGCCGCACACACAGTTTGCACACCAACTCCTGGGTATTCAGACTGAACCTTTCCAGTGTGAAGGTGCAGTGCAGGTTCCTCTGACATCCACTCCAGATGTGGTAAAAGGGAATTTCCTTGCAGGAGGAAAGCAAAAAAGTATAGTCGTGGGGGGATGTGGGATGTGACTAGAGACCACAGGATCCATGCTAATGTGACTGCAAATGGTCTAGGGAAAAAAATGTCCATGGAACTATAGCCTGACTCCTGGTGTTTTTTAAACACACCTGTGTGTGACAGTATTTATTTAAGCTTCACTGCTAGCATTCAATGTGCAGGTTTTGTTATGCTCACCTGGTATTTAGCCAGCAGCTTGCTCTTCCAGAGAGAGTGGGCAATGTCATGAATGGACAGACGGAGGTTGTGGGTGCTTCCCTTGAAATGCAAAGATTTAGGCTCTTCCAAAAGCTGCCCTCCCATCTGCTGCTCAAGATGGAGGACCTCCTGCAGTATTGGGATAAAAAGAAAGTGGTCAGGTTTCATCAAGACAGCACACTAATATTCTAAGTCCTCAAGATTGTGTGCTGTAGATGCTGTAACTTGTGTAATACAAATTTAAAAAATACACAGGCATCGCACAGAACTGTGTGTCCCTGTGAACTGGAACTGCATTAGTTGATCTGATTATAACCCTCCCAGCTCCTTCATCCAGCAGCAGCCCAGCAGGGATTCAGGCACCTCTCCTCGGGGAGACACAGTGTTCTCTCACATGTCCTATAGCCAGAAGCTCGATTCTGTGCTATTAAATGAAATGCAAAGACTTTTCATGCAGTCACTGTTTGAGTAGACAAATAGATCAATCTCTGTTGCCCATCAAACTGGATATCTAATGGTAGCTTTACTATCTTGTATTTGGAAACTCTTATTTGTGCAGGTCCTGCTGACATGGGACCTACCAGTGCATACCACTGGTCTATTAGCTCATGGCCTCCTGACAAAGTGCCCCATGACAGAGCAGGAGATATCTCCACAGGAGATAACAGATACCTATCCTGACACTGTCTAGCAGGATGGCATGGAAACAGTGCAAGACACTGTGATGGAGCATTTTGTTCAGACAAATACACAGGCTCAGGCTACTGAAATATTGATCATGTGATTAAAAGCTACCAAGCAAAGAGTTTGGTCATTTTATGAAGCTAAATGTAAGCTTGTAATTAATAAGACTACAGTGGAATGTTTCCTACAAGCAGTCTAATTGTGGACCACATGGAAGAAGCAAGTATAAAGGCATCTCCATGAGCCCCATTAGAAACCAACATAGACAATCTCAGTCACATTTAATTAAAAGAGTAAACTGCCAACCAGTCTCATGAGGCCAAAGACAATCACACACAGTGGAGATGCTCAAGGAATACAGGGGCACACAAAACTGGGATTCTGCCCCAGGCCAAATAAAGGAGCCCCCATTTTAGCTAGAATGCTCCTGACCACATTAAGGGAGGTAGTAAGCATATAAGAAAAACATCTGGCAGATCCTGAAGCTAAAACAACGTTCTTTTATTGGCCATTAGAGGAAAAGAAACAGAATCAGGAAACCTTTCAGATTAAGGTTATGCCAATGAATCAGTTCCAGCTTCTTTCCAGTGCCACCTAATTACTTCATCAAGATGTCTAAAGAGCAATCGATAGTAATTATCTGATTACTATAGATCTTCATTATGTTCCAATTACCTCCCTGGAAGGTCCAGAAGATGGCTTGTAGAACTGTGTGAGCTAATTGCAGATGCCACCTCTCAGGCATGTGGGGCAGGGGTACTGAGAAACTGCTCCTGCCTATGCTGCACCAGCTCTGGGAGCTGCACTACTGTGGGGGAAAACAGTGTGATGCTGCACCATCCCACCCACCAGATCTGTGTGTCTAGTTTCAACATCCCACTTCTGGTAGCCACTCTGGGCCACTATAGCCCTTCCACATGCTCTAACTGGAGGATGCTAAGCAGCCTGTGGTTCTCACATGCCATTCAGCTAATTAATTCAGAATTAATTTGAAGCCATGACTTGCATAGCCCTTCAAACATGCTGGCTGGTTCCTGCCATACGGCTTTTTTATGAGCAGTGCTTATCCCACTGGCTGGCACCTCTGTGTCCTCCTGAGCCAAAACCTGAGCTGCATATTGCTTGTCCCCATGCTGAGGTGGCTGTGGTCACCCTGCCCACTATCTCTCACCACCCTGCAAGGCAGGAGTTATTTCCTAGGAGAAGGAGCTGTGTAAGGCATAACTCCATCACCTGGGACACAAGAACAGCCATAACCTGGGCCTCCTCGTTAAAGGGGCACAAGCAAACAACAGTGTTCAGTCCAAGCTGTGCCTTTCTTCAATAAAAGGAAAAATACACATTAAATAACTGAGAGATCACAGGCCTGTTGTGCCCATTTTTGGATTTTTTTTTTTAAAGACAGCTACTGCTCAGCACAAGACAGGTTGGGGAATGTCACCCTGCTGCAGCCTGAAGTCCTTCACATGTCCCCAGTGTGGAAGGCAGCTGTTTCCATGTATCTCATGTAGCTCAGCTCCTGCCAGGCTGCCACACACAGGTCACATACCTCAATCTCAAAGCCACACATCAATAAAGAGAGCAAAGCAGAGGGATTTCTTTATCATATTATTACTTTCTTTCTTTTTCTTTCTTTTACTTTTTTTTTAACCTTGGGCATCTCCTTCAAAGTGAAAAATTAGCCTTACAAAAAGAGAGCAGTGCTCAAGGTCACAACTCCCTTCATCCTTGCCCAAAAGGCATTTTTGTGAGCATCCCATCCAGGTGGCTCAGGACCCTGTGGGGCAGAGGATGCTGCATGTTTGATCAGCACTGAGCCCATGCTGCTCCACGGCCAGGAACCTCACTAAGCTGCTCCCACAATAACCGAGCCCTTATTGATGGCAAATCATTACACTTCCCTACTGTACTGCGGGTGCTGGCAGCTCAGCTGCAAGTGCTTACTCTGCATGATGAGAGGGAAAAGTCTGCTGGATAAACACTGCACTGTGCTTTATACTGCAACTACTTGTCTTCCTTTGGTGGCTGTTAAAACACATTCAGCATATGGCACACTCATTCCTAGTTGTAAATAATAACAGAATGCATTTGGTTGTCTATTAAAAAATACACACAATCCCCTACAAAGGCTCTTCCAAAGCTTAAGCAATGCAATATGGGAATATTGCTCTTCCCTACCCTTGCTGTGCTTTGCCCAGAGCAGCCAGCCTCAAGACATGGAGATGTTGCAGCTGGTGCTTAACCTGCTGCTTACAACTTTTCTTTCCTCTCCAAAATACTTCTAAACCCCAGGATCTGCTGGCCCAGCCGTGTCTGCATGTCTTGTCCCCACACCCAGTGGTAATTGCCCTGTGAATGCCTTCCCTCTGGCAATACAGCAGTGCCAAGGATGTCCCCCCAGCACAGCAGGGGCTGCTGCAGTACCAGCTGCTGTGAAAGCACGTGCCAAATACCCCAACCTTTTTTTTTTTCTATCTAAATAGTCATTGAGATACAGTCTACACAACACTTCGATGTGGGATATTTATTACACACTGGTTTGTATGTACCAGTTCATACACGCCTGCTTACACACAGTGGTCCATAGCCAGCCTTTCCATCTACACCTGTTTTACTCATCTACAGCTTATCTAGGCTTCTTTTTCCTCAATCTTCTCCTTCCCCAGACCTTCCAGTTCCAAAGAAGTGCAACTCATGCATTCATAAGGGTCTGTGGCCAGCAACTAGATGTGCTTTTTCTCCTGCAAACCACCAGCTAGCTGGGTCTTGAACCCCATGGGTGCCCCCCCAGTCTTGGGGTAGACATGCCAAAGAGAAAGAAAATTAAAATGCATAAACTTGATGTAAAAAAGCAGTAGGTACTGAACGGGATGGTGGCCTCCTGACTTTTCTCACCTTTCTTCACTAAACTGCAATCTCATTTTGGGGTCTAACTGCAGCAGGATCCCAAGGACTGACCTGTTGCCCTCCTAGATTTTGGCTGCAGCTTCTCAGGTGAAGGATGGTTCCCCTGTTTGCCTTTCCTGATCCCTTCTGCTGTTGCACTGAATTTGATTAACTTTACCACAGAGCTCTCCCTACAGTCTATTAGAAACAGACCAACAGCTCCTGAGTAATTCCTAATTAGATTCCTCAGCTCTGACTGCATTAGCTGGCTGGCCAAGGCCCCTCCAACTCAGTTATTATTACCTCAGGCCTTGTCAAACCCATGGAAAATTGTATTATGCAGCACAGGCATAAAACCATCAGGACCTTTGAAGCTTGATTGCTATGAAAGATCCTTTTCACTTTTTTCTTTTCTTTTAATTTTTTTTCCAATAGTAGGAAAAACAAAAGGGAAATCAGACCAGGGAAAATAATTGTTCTAAAAGGCCGGTTACACCAATGCAGTGACAGCGACCAAGCTCCCAGAGGACAAAACCAAGCTGAAGTCACCATGTGCCTGCTTCAACCCTTATGCTTTGTTGCCTTTCTTACACATACAAGAGCACCCAGTCAGCAAAGCCTAGGCAGGCAGCATCAGATAGTATCAGGGAGGACAACCAAGTGTGCTGCTCTCAGTGATGGAAGTCACCGTTCTGAAAAACACAAGCATCTCCCAGCCAGTGTATTTGCATTTAAATCCCAGTAACTCCCACCTAGACCTGGGGAAACAAAAGCATGCACAGCAGCAGGATGACTCTGCTTAGTCAGGCTTTCAAACCACTTTGCAGCAAAGAAGTGAAGTTGCATAACCTACAACTAAAGGAAAAACCCCACCTTTTAATAAACTCAGTTGTGCAATTGGAGCTACATATTTCATGAGTACATCTATTATAGATATCTTCTGTGTAAATACAGGTATTTATAAAGTGAAATAGCAAGTATGGCTACCTTTCTATTCATCTACATGCAGTGAGTGTGTGTTTGTGTGAATTACACAGGGAGAGTAAGGTTACCCAGTTAGGGATAGCAGGAGCTTTGGTTTATTTCAGTTGTGAATTCCCAACACAAAAAGCTGCACACGAAGAGGTGTAATAAAGCAGTATGAAAGCAGACAGTGATTAACAGGCCAGAAGCTTCTTTTATCATTATCAACTATTTACAAAGAAGCATTTATATGTTTCACCATCTCTGGGGAGCTGGCACTTAGCATTAAAAATACATGAATAACGAATGAAGCCCTGTGTACCTTATGGCCTTTTAATAATGCAAAAACCTTAGGATTCAGGATATGATACAGGTAAACAAAGGAAAAAAGACTGGTGGGTGGAAAATAGTGTGAGATCCCTATGTAAAGGACAATTTATAGCATGTGAGGGTTAAACTGTAAAATAGCAGCTTGCTGTCAAACCTTTCTTCTAATCAGAAAAATAACTCAAGGAGCATGAATACATGGAACAGAGGGTCCAGTCTCTGCTATGACTGTGACAACTGGGGAGGGAGAGGGAGAGCAAGCAAGAGATCAAGAACCACCTTAAGAGCATCCTGCGTGTCATCGAGGCAGTAGACCCGGATGCTGTACTCCAGGGAAGAGCAGGACAGCGGTCCAAAGATGGCCAGTTTGAGACGTTTGGCTGCTGCCTTGGTGATTGACTGTCCCACCAGGGCATAGGTGCTGAGCGTTTCTGTCAGGATATGGCAGGCCTCTGGGTCCAGCTGGATATAGCACGGGGTAGTAAAGTTTTCCTCTCCGACCACCACCACATCCTAAGAGGGAAAGAGGCCAAGTTACAGCATGTGACCCGTCAGAGCTACTTTCCCTTCAGGCAGCAATGTCCCTTTCAAACCTGGATGATGCAAAAAGTCCTTGCTGTTTGCCCATTAGATTAATCAAGGTCTAAAAGTGCTTCTTCCAGCTTTTCTCCTGTGTAGGCACAGGGAGCAGGTTTCTCTGGGGTGCTGATGATGATGTTGGAGGTTGAAAACTCCCCCTTTGAAAGCACTCCTGCTTTTAAAGCCTTGAGCAGAGTTAGACAAATAATGAAAACATCACCAAGACTTTACTGACAGAGATATTACAGAACTAATCATTTGGTGACCATGATTTAGCATCAGTAGTCTCAGGCATGCTGAATAAATAACTGCCCTTCACCTCCTAAGCACGACAATAAGGAGTTATAAAAACTCAAGGAAGGGAAGAAACCTCTGTGACAGCCAAATACCACATCTATATGAACTATCATCTGCTGCTTCCTCAGAATAATCCTCTGTGACAAAACTACAGGATGAGGGAAAAAAAAACCTGCCTGAATGCAGATGACTTCCCCACCCTGGGTGTGCAGGGAAACAGCTCTCCTGCTAATTTCTCCATTCAACCCTGCATGTAATATCCTGCAAGCAACACAAGGTGCTTTGAGAGGGAGCAGAAGTGAAGCGTCAGCAGTGGGTGACAGCCGCCTCTTGCAAAGCCACTACGTGCCACACGATGCTCAGCACAACTTGTCCACTTCATCCCTGCTGCCTGCAGCTCTGCAGCACAATGTACACACCTGGCAGCTGAGAAGAGTGGGCTCAGCTGGCATTAGGCGTTAAGCTTGGCTCCCTTAGTCTCAGGAGAGGCAAACCTGCCACGTTTTCAGCGGTGGCACAATCTTTTTGGAGGGCAAGGTGCTGCTCCATGCCCACGCCAGCACCTGGCTCTGGCAGGAGGTGCTGCCCCGAGTGATGCTGCAGGGGTGTCCATGAATGTGTGTGCACGTGTGCGTGTGAGGCTCAGCTTGGAGGAGCTGCTCCAGAACTCACAGGAGGAAGAAGGAATGAAAGGATGGCCAGGGGCCCCATGGATGCTGCACACACACCAGGGTGTGTGCAGGGTTGGCAGAGCAACCTCTGCCTAGGGCAGGGGGAGGATGGGTAGAAAATGAAGAGGTGCCAGTAACACACAGACACAAATAAGGAATACACATGTGGTGCCACGAGTTGGGCTGTGGGGTGCAGATTAGCTGGCGAGACAGAGCTCGCTGCATGCTGTGTTGTGCTGCATGCTCCCTCCCAGCAGGAGGAAGAGCCGGTGCCACAGGCAGCAGGACAAACACAAGAGGCTTTTGAAGACAATGCTGGACATAGCACTTCTGCTGCTGTCAGCCTTCAGAAGCCACCCTGACCTTATTAAACTTACCAGTAGGAGAAAGCACCCTTGCCAAATTAATTATGAGACCAAACAGGTGGCAGCAGGGACCTAGGAGCACAGGGCTGGAGAGGAGAGCTCTGTCAGGATTGCCCAGCCTTGCTGAAAGCATCACTTTATGCTCCAGTTACTGTGAGAGGATCCTTTAGCCACACTGCTTTGGGACATTCTCCTGCTATACTACTAGCAAAGAACCACCTCAGGCTCCCACCATGGAAAACTGCTAGCACTAGGAGGTGCCAAAGTGCCCAAAGACAGATCTCTGCATGGGCACTCGGCAGCTTTGACATCTTATAGGGAAGGGCACTCCTGCCTGCCTGTAGCAGCCATGTGTCTCACGTGGAACTCCCAAAATACAGGCGTCCAGGTTCAGAAAGGCAAGTAAAAGACTAACAGAGAGCCCTGGATGCAGCCAGCACACAGGCTGGAGCTCTGGAGCCTCACCTCCCACAGTCCCTGGGCAGCCTGGTGCTTCAGCTGGATCTGCCAGTCCTCTGTGTTTGGCTCTGCGCAGTGGTGCATGGTTAAAATGACAGGCCGGGTTAGCAGGGCTCCTGGTGGGCCACAGCTCACCACTGGTGTCAGCAGGGTTTGGCTGTCTTCTACAGGTGGCCTGGTGAGGAGACAGAAACATGAATACATTAAGTGAGTTGAAAAAGACAAAAAGGTTCATTTGGGTGTGTAAAAACAAACAAACAAAAAATCCTTCTCTTAAAATAAAAAAGATTGTGCAAGAAAAATCGGTGGGTTTTGGTTTTCCTCCATTTTTTTCCAAATCCAAATTTATTTCCTTTTTTTGCTTGTTTTTGTGCCAAATATCACTTGTGTCAAAATGCAGGTTTAGGTGTCAGCAAATTACAGGCCATATTTGCTGAGTACACTCCACTCTGAAGGATCCTTGCAGATGGTATGCAGAGGCTTCATTTCACCCACTGCCAAAATGTGGTCACTGCTGCATTTGGCAGTTGTACAGTAACACACAAAAATGAATGGTGGCTCTTGTAGGCACCACTTGTGAGAATTTTCTACTGTTAGGACAGAGAAAACTGACAAAGAGAGGAAGACACCGAACTAATAAGCATGTAAGCATGGCTGAAAGTGGTACACAGCCCATCTGAGATGTGCACTTTGAGTTCTGAGTCATCACCAAACCACTGATACTCCATTTTACTTAAAAGGCATTCAGATCTACTAGAATGGCTATTGCATGTATGCCTGCAAGGAGCAAGTGTCACTGCTGGTGAGGGAGAAAGGATGAAGGGATGGTAAGGAATAGTGCAAGGGTAAAATACACTTGTAAAGCCCAAGATTTCTAGTGATCACGTCAAGCTGTTCAGCTAAAATCACAGGTATTATCCAGTGTGCTTGCTGCCAGTTACTAGGAATTGGTCTTACGAGAAATCATCTGAATATTTAAGATACACAACATACACTCTAGTTTGAAAATGACAGTGTGTGTGCCTGTGTATGTGTGCACATGTGTGCAAGTGCAGACCATCCCAGATCAACCACTGAGGAGCTTAAAACAAGAGGAAGCATGAGTGACTTTAACTATCCCGACATCTGGTGTATGACAAATACAGCTGAATGTGCCTCATCAACTGCCTCCCTAAATAATAGAGGACAAATTCATGATCCAGAAATCAGCAAGTGGGAGATTAAAAGCGTTCAATGTGATCTGCACTTAAAATCCCGATCTGCCCACAGGACCACACGTGCTCTGCTCTGGCAGTCCCATGCTGCATTTACAAATACAAGTACATCTGCATCAGTCTTAGAGAAATTAGTTGAGACAAAATTGCTATTTTGTTCTGCAAGTTTTTGTCTTTCCCAAAAGAAAAAATACATAGCATAGTAATCATAGAATCTTAGACTATCCTGAGTTGGAAAGGACCCACAATGACCATTGAGTCCAACTCCTGGCCCTGCACAGGATTATCCCCAAGAGTCACACCCTGTGCCTGAGAGCATTGTCCAAACACTTCTTGAATTCTGCCAGGCTTGGTGCTGTGACCACTTCCCTGGGGAGCTGTTCCAGCGCCCAACCACCATCAGGTGAAGAACCTTTTCCTGATACTCAACCTAAACCTCCCCTGACACAACTTCAGGCCATTCCCTCGGGTTCTGTCACTGGTCACCAGAAAAAAGAGATCAAGTGCCTGCCCCTCTACTTCCCCTCAGGAGGAAGTTGTGACTGTAGTGAGGTCTCCCCTCAGTCTCCTCTTCTCCAGGCTGAACAGATGCAGTGACCTCAGCCAACTCCTGCATGGGTTCCCTTCAAGACCCTTCAACCATATGCATTGCCCTCTGGATACTCTCTAATAGTTTAACGTCTTTCTTGTGTTGTGGTACCCAAAACTGCTCACAGGCCGCACCAATGCAGAGCAGAGCAAGTAATCTTGGATAACATTTTCAAGGAGGCCAAATCAGGACAGAAGCCATTATGATATCAAATTTATCACACCTATTCTGGTTATTGCAAATATATGCCCATAGGACTAATCTAATTTTGTCCACTTTAATTCTCCCTGCCTATCACATAAAATCCACAGAATGCAAGATAAACTTTTGAGAAATCCTTTTTCAAAACGGAATGAAGGCACTTTTGAAAATTACCCCTTGTTGTCACAAATGTTGTGGAGGTCTTTGTAACATTTGAGAAAAAAAAAGAGTCTGCATTGAAAAAACTTAAATCTATGCAAATCAGTAAATCCAGATGATATGCATCTGTGGAAATTAACTGATGAGTTTACTAAATGGCTTAACAATTGTTTCTGAAAATCCATGGACTGGAAACAAACAGCTGTGATATAGACTTTTTTCAAAAAAGATGTAAAGTATAACAATCTGGACAGCTATCATGTATTGTGCCAAGTATTTTAGCCTAACAAACAATACACAAAATAAATGAAACACTAGCAGATAGAGTACCTAGTCCAGCTCCTCTTGCATACTGCAAGGAATCACTGGATTCAGATTAAGAAGATGAGGTATCACTTTTTTGCAAGGCCAGACTGAATAAATCATTGGCCAGTTTTTCACTACAACATTCTTTCTTTTTTGACTCATTTACATTATGTTATTTTAAACATAAAATAATGTAAATGAATCAGAAATAATGACATTTTATTTTATGCTATTTTTTTCATAAGAAGCAACAAGAAGCTTAAAAAACACTCAGAGTGTGTCAGTGGTTTTTAATGGTCATCAGCCTTGGGAATTGGTGGATATTTGAACTCTGTCCTATGGTCTAATTCAAGAAATTTCAAGAAATAGTATCTTATGAGAAAGATCTCTCAAAATTATAATATATGTATGTAAAGCAGATATGACCAGCTATAGCTTAATCATCTAGTTAACCTAACTTCATCTAAAAGTACTGACCCATGAAAAAGAAAAAATTGAAAATACAAGCTATCACAGTTTTTTGGAGTGAATTACAGAAGAAGCAGTCAAAAAGAATGCAGGAGTGAATATATCATGATTGCCTTAAAAAAATTAACATGGTGCCTTTTAGGTGAAAAATTAGTTAAAATCAACAAGCACTGATGCCTGCAGTCAAAAACCCCAAAAGGTCATTAAAGTAATATGGTACTGATAAGTCATACAGTCTGAAGTTGTCTCCAAGTAAAGTTTAGTCACTGCTTTGTGCCAAAGTTTTTTTAACTGTCATATTTTAGGATGCTGGGCACGATTGTGTGCCCATTTTTTCTGCAACATTTTATAGCATATTAGAACAAGAACAAAAAAATTATGCAGAATACCAAGTCAGGATGTGTGGCAGACTGCAGAGCAAGGAACTGAGATGGGAAGTGAATGCAAGCATACAAAGAACATCTTAAAAATATCAATGCTTAATATTTTTTCCCCATGTTCATAAACAGCATCTTTGTCACCAGACTTGGAAGATTTATTGCCAAGTGAATGAGATATGCATGGTTCTGACCTGGGTATTTATGATAGAGAACAGTCTGATTAGCGAAGAGAAGAAAAAGTTGTGGGGATGCTTGACTTTACAGTCCCAAATTCCCAACTAGGCACACATCAGAGAATGGCACCACAAAATTACTGAACACCTGCTGGTCCCAGTGACTCTCCAACATCCACATCATACAGATAAACCTTTAAAAACTGAGATGTAATGAGTTGCAGAGAAGTTCTCCAGTGGTGTGAAGTGGGTCACTGTCACTATTGAAGAGAAATACCAGCTCCGTTAAAGCCTATGCTAAACCTCTCTCTGACTACTGTGAGGCCAGGATTTCTACTCACAATGTGGAAAATACAATCATTACAATTACAGGTAACAATTAATAAGGAATCACTGCAAGTAACAGGGAAAGCCAGAAAACAATGGCAGAATTCTAGAGAGGGTAAAAATATGAGTAGGAAATAAAATCTTATTAATTGTACAGTAGCTCAGGCTGGAGCAAACAAAACAAGTTCCAAAGAGTTACATAGTAAAACAGAAAACAATAAAAGTGAACAACATTTCAGGTGAGCTTGCTGCAACACAGCAGGCATCAACGTGTAACATGATGCAGTGACAAAAAGCAAATCTGATTTCTGGCGTTGTATGGGACAAGGCATGTCAGAGCACATCACAGTGATATTCCCTTTCCTGCTCTAACATGCCTGCAGGTAGCAGCAGTGTGTTTAGGGACCACCACGAGATCTCTGAAACAAACACCTGAAATTCCCAGAGGAATGAGGCTAAACAGCACAATGGCACAGACAGCAAAGAGGTGTCCTATGGAAAGTGACACGAAAATGGAACAAAAATCTCCCAACAAATCTTTTCTCGCTTCTCATTGTTTTCAATTTCCTTTTTAAAAGGATTACGCCTTACTATAGCTAATGAGAACAGAAACAGATGCAGTAGACAAGATACATTATACAAGGGATATTAATCGTTCTTCTTCAAAGCATAAACCAACAGTAATTCATGGAATTAGTAAACAACAAATTCCCCTGAAGACAAGTTTTTGTGTAGTCACTCATTAAGACAACTTTATTCCTTCTCCTGAAACAGGAGATGCAGCAGCAGCAAAGCCAGGATCCCAGCCTAGAGGAGCATGTGTTGTGACCAACATTGAGATGTATGTGCTATAGACTGTGGGATATCTAGCACAAATAGAGACACAGGGGAGCTTATAGAGAAAGGGAGTTAAACCTATGAGCAGAAATTATCAAAACTGTGGGCAATCTTTTAGGCTATTTTCCAAAAAAGAACCCCAAACCCAACCTCCTTCAAAATTCCCATCAACATGGGCTCCACCTTAGGCTTGCAGCAGTCTCGGGATAACTATGTAGAGGAGACTGGGCACTCAGCTGTATAACTCCAAAAACAAAGAGATGCTTTTGTTTTACAAAGATCTGAGACTAAAATTCAACTCACTGCTTAGTGTTTCTATTAAAAGGCACTAACAGTAACTGAAAGGTCTTCAGATATTTTTAGATGTTTTCCCATCCCTTAGAGATTATCAAGAACAGTCAGCTTATATTTAAAAGCAAACAAACTTTTATTCACCATATCTGGTCCATTCACAATCAAATTTGTGTTTTTAATGGGATTACTTATTTGAAACTGTCTCCCTGTAATAAGACAGACCATATTCATTAAGGTAGCTGTCAGACAGCAGATGTGAGCACCACTAGATAAATCTCTGCTCCTCAGTGGGACTACACTATTCTCCCTGCCACTGTGATTGCTCCAGGCAATCACAGCAGCTCAGGAAGCACAGGATGGATCAGGGAGAGAGGAATGGCTATCACATAGCAACAAATGGCAACCCTTCTACACAGTTTAGCCAAAAGTTGGAGGAAAGTTATTTTTTTTCCTCCTTTCATTGCTGGGGCTTTATTTTTCAGTATGTGTTCTTAAGTTTCAAACTTAATATTCTCGACAGACCCAGTTTTTTCTGACAGTCTATCTTCAGAAGAAAAATACTCTGAGAAGTTTGCCCTCCCTTTTTGCTCATGCTCTGGTCTTTTTCATGTTGAATTTTTCAATTATTGTGACTGGCACTTCAAGAAATTGTCTTCTGGAGTTGCAGAGTAATTTTGTTTATGCAACTGAGATAAGGAAGGTGGAGAAATGAAATATGGAAGACTTCAATTTCTTTTATTTCACATCACTAAGCTTAAGGTTTATTGGTGAAAATGCAACATTGCTCCTTGGATCACACTCATTGATCAGATGCTTGATTTTATATTAAACTCTGTGCATACATTATGAAGCCATTGATACAAATCCTGGCAAGGCTCACCTGACCCTTTTTCTTTTAAGGTAGATAATTTGAAATTTGCATATTTATGTGTGTCTTCCATCTAGACCTTCAGGAGTGTTGCTTGCTCTGTTCTTCAGGGTTGTCAAATTTTGTGGGCACAGCGACCTCCACTCTCATTTGGAACACCTCCTGTGTGATGGATTATACAGGAGTGTCCTTCACAGAGATGTATCTGTTTTGTGCAGTTCCTGCCTCTGATTAGAGCACGCCAGAGTGGCTCCACCTAAAGCTGTGTGAGCTCAGCAGGGGTTCACACAGAAACACGGGAACTGCCACACAAGATAAAACCAGTGGTCCATCAAGACCCAGACCCCATCTAGCACTGACCACTGCCAGATGTTTCTGTAGGAAACACAGCTCCGCTAATTTAGCTCACAGCGAGATTTGTTTTTTAACCTGAGGCAGTCAAGCAAATCCTGGAGGCTGGAGGTTTATACTCATGCTATTTAATCCTTAGGATTAAATTTCAGATTAATTAAATAAATTACTTGATCTGTAAACCCCAGGGTCTCTCAGCTGCTCATGGGATCAGGCTCTTGCCAGGTACTGGCCAACATAATGTGCTGATTTTATAGATGAAATCACTACTCAAGAAGGGACTCCTTGCAAATCTCAAAGTTGGTGACACTTCCCCAGACTAAGGGAAAGAGCATCTGCTCATCACTGAAAAAGACTGAGCTTTGAGACAGAAACCTGCCTGACAGTTGTGAAATATTCTCATAGCATTGTCATTTTTTCAGTTACACATATATGTGTATACATGTATATATGTATTTGCATGCCTACATATATGTGTACAAACACACACCCATATATAATTTTCCCCACTGTAGCTGCTTCATAAAGGATGTGGATCTTTTCATGAGGTCAACACACCAGCCAGGGATCAGAGCCTAGGAGCTGCCTGCCATCCATCCTGCCCCAAAAGAAGGAGGGTGAGCTTGCAGGACAGGAGCAGGGATAACACTCTCCTGGAGCATCAGTCCAGTAAAAGAGAAACCCCACTGTGCCACAAGTACACTGACACACTTGGAGGAAACAACTGCCTTCAAGTGGTGTTTACTGCAAACTATCAGAACCCCAATTCACTACCAAAGGATAATGCTTTTGTGGTGACCTTCCTGCTCTCACATGCTTTGATGGATATGAAATGAAATAAACAGACCGTCTCAGAAAGCTCTCCTAACCAATCTGCAAGTCAGCACAAAGAGGGTTGTGAAGTCTCTCAAATTTCTGTACTACAGCTTTCAGATACTAAGTAGGGAAACTTATTATGAAAATGAAGGAAAAGAAAAGGGGAATTTGCAGGTGTCCGAGAGATAACATATTTTCTGTTTCAGCTTGACTATTCAGAAGTTGTTTCACAGTTCTACAAAGTGTGAGCTAGATCTTAAGTTGCTGGAGATACGTGAGCTGGGGTGGTGACCCTCTCTTGCTTCTCTGGTTCTACTACGGTGGCATTGTGGAGACCACATTCTCACCTCAGAGCTAGTTGTAATATCAAGGACAAGACTCTACCTTCATTTCTGATAATAACATGCATTTTATAATTTCCTGTGTGTCCCCTTCCAAACAACATCAACAGACAATAGGACTTTTCAACTCATACACATTTGCACAGTGCTCATGAAAATAAATATAGGGTCTCACAGGGTTTGTTGAACACACTGCAGTTACTGCCTGGCCAAGAAAGCAAATGTCTGCAGCTAGTCCTTACTGGGGACTATCACTCTCTGCTAGAGTGCTGCAAGAGTGCAGTAGTTGATTTAAAAAATAATTACACCCATAGCAACTTGTGGTACCCATATGACTCCAATTATATGAAGCAACATCTGTGGCCCATGCAGTCAGAAAAAGAAGCTTTGACTGAGCTGTAGCTCTGCTACACAAGTGAAAGTGTCTGGTAAGCAGTCCTGCAGTAGGAGAACATTACAGCTGGGTGCCACCCACTCCCTTCTGCTCCTTGGCACTCGGGGAAAGGGGGCAAATGAATATTCAGTTCTGAGTGATGTAGACAACACCCAATGAGCTCCATCTTAAATGTCCCAGAAGAAGCTACTTTCCAGGAGCACAAATAGCCTGCTGTGCTTTCTGAAAAACTACCACAAATCAAATAAGCAGCTGGACTCTCTGCACCCAGAAAGTGACTGCCACCACAATACGATGACACCAGCTGTCCCAAGGTAGACTGCTCTGCTCTCCTCTCCCAAGGAAAGAAATCACTTGTAAAATCTTCCTTGTAAGTGAGGATTCACACCATTCTGTTTATTTCTGCAGGTGTCCTTTGGCATACTTGCTCAGTTTGGCAGGCAGCACATCTCCAGCCATGCTTTTCCCAACACAGATTAACCTATCCTTCTGTGTGACTTGCTGAGTTACAGCTATCACAAAGCATGCAGAGGCGGCTTTATGATCCTTGAAGAAAATAAATTAGACAAGTATGTGACATTAGTTGTCCACAGCTGCATGAATAAAGTAACAGGGATTCCCTCCATAACTGGCTGGAAAGAAAATAATTGCACATACAGCATCTTCTAGGAATTAAATAATTTTTTTAAGAATTAGGTATTTTGGAAAGGGAGATTTTAAAGAAAGCTGAATAACAAGGAATGTCATCTGATTTCTTTTTTCTTCTTCAGGAAAGGCTCTTTGTTCAGTATTGTTTGTAAACCTCTTTCATAGCCAAAAGTAATAGGAATATAATCAATACTAGCTATGAAAAGAGACATTTTTTTCTGTAGCTGCAATTAGCTATTTTCAAAGAGCAGCTGATGAATAATGTATGCAAAAGGGTGGGTGGAAGGATTACTTAATTTTTCTTTAAGTAGATTATTTTAGCTTGGGTGAAAGACTACCAAGCTAAAGAATAGTGTTCAATATCACACAGTGTATAAACAGCTGCGGCTTAGCACATAATAAAAGCTATTAAGAGGCTGAGCCAAAAAACATATCTAGCTACGAGGAAGAGAAAGAGGCAAAGCACCGTGTAATGACTGCCTCAGCTTCACATTTGCCATTCTGCCTTTGTGTGTGAGTCTATTCTGCAGCCTAAGATCTCACCTTTCTCTTCATTAGGGTTTTCTAAATGGCTGCAAATGGTATCTTGGCCTTTTGGTAAACAATTTTTTTAAATTTCAAGGCTGCTAGATCACATGCAAGTAGACATTAAGATCTAGAATATGAATTAGCCACACATTCAGGTAACAGGAGACAACAGTGGTCATCCCAGCATCAGTTCTGGGTGTCCTTGCCAAGCAGCAAGGAGGTAGAGGACACCAAAAGCTTTGGCTTCATCCTCTGCATTGACTAGCCAAGCCCATGAAGGGTAAAATAAAAATTCACCTTCACTCAAACAGGAGAGGAGATCTTTCAAGTCAGCTGCTCAGGCACCTGTCCCTCCACTGAGCTGATTTATCACCTTTCTCCTCTGCTCCCTTTCTCCTTTGCAGCACAGGTCTTTATCAAGAGGATACTTCACACCTTCTCTGCTGCACAAACTCATGTTGCCATATTTTCCTTGCTTCTCTACAATTTAGCATCCCCCCGGCCTGAGGGCTTGCTGCAGAGTGCAGCACTTGATTAGGAAAGAAAATGTCTGAGCTGGTTTTGTGGCAAAGTTTATCCTTGGCTTTGTTTGTGTTTATCTCCCGGTCAGCAAATAGCTTAAATGCAGTAGGCGTTGCATAAGCATTATTACCACAGGTCGACAGTTACTACATTTTCCGCCTCTATTAATGAATAAGGAAATAAACGCAGGGTTTTTTTACCTCATGTTCTCCTTCCTGTGAACTGTCAGATACATTTCATAGACTCTCCCTTGTGGAACGGCTCCCGCTGGGATCAGCAAACTCACTCCTGCAGAACAGAAGAGACACAAAATATAAGATGGAGAAAAAGGAGGTGAGTGGGTCTGTGAAGAGGAGTGACAGGAGAGGAAGAAGATGAAGCCTGCAATGCCAGATTTTCAGCCATCCTCACCAGACTGTAAATCACCTCAGCAAAGTGGAAGAAAGACCATTTACTGTAACTCTGGTGTCTTCAGCGTCCACTGCCTGTTCTTTTTCCTCTGCACTGAAAAACAGGAGTGAAGAGGATTTTGTTCCCTTTAATTTTATTTAAAGAGCAGACAGATGGTTACGCTGTTGCTTACCTTGTAAAATGATGGAAAAACAAACAACTCTGACTAAAATTTCCAACAGCTGTAATGGGACATTTCTCCCTAGGCAATTCTTACTTAATTAAGATCAGGAAAGAAAAGCAGTGGAGCACTGTCCCAGGAAGCAACAAGAACTAGTTGTTTCCTGAAAGATGGCTCTGTGTCTGGCATCCTGTCTTTTAATGCACTCAGTTCCTAGACTGCCAGGGAGACAAAACTGGGCTTGGTTTTTGAATGCACCTAGTCCTATAAAGTGGCTCAAAACTGGGATATTCAGCCTTGAAAAAAGTGTGGGCAAATATGCTTGGTGTCCTTTTCAGTAATGATTTGCTTCACACTTGATTAAAAAACACTGTTCTTACATTATTTCCATTTAAGCCATGTCTTGTCTTTACACAACAAACATGGCCCACAAACTGGCTATTTCACTCTGCTGGACACATCTCAGCCAGCTCCCTTTGTAGATGCAGATTAGCTGGAAATCAATGGCAAGGATTTGTATACAATTGTTACTACATAGCTGAAAACAAACCTAGAAGAAGATTATTTGCATATATGTGTTCACACTAGAGACACTTTATAGACACCTTGCACGGCTCTGCCTCTTTCCTTGAGTACACACAGTTTTGTTGAACTGGACACCTCCCATGTGTTGGTGCACAGGGCCTCAATCCCATACGTAGCTTTGAAGTAGAGGGGTAGGAAAGCATCTTCCACAAATGCCTTCTGGCACCTGTGTCTTTACAGGCCTGTTACAACCTAACCTGTGCATGCTTGCAGCTGTAACAGGACAGGTATGCTGCAAATGAGGGGCTTTGATCATATTTTGCAGAGGATATACATTTAGAAGCAGCACAGAGGCATACAAGGTAGCAGCAGACAGATTATTTTATTTTACAGAATCATTACTTTAATCATTTTGAAGGGATTACAGCATCAAATGTTTTTTCTTCACAAATTGATATTAATATACGGGAATTAACAGTGACTAATAGACTTTGCTGATAATGTGCACCACTGTGGCATATGAAAATGGAGTATCAATATCTATCTTCAGCTGCTACTTAGAAAAATGTGAAATCCAAGATTGTATAGCACAAATTTTCAACAATGCTTATCAGTCAGCACCAGATTTACTGATGTAGTTCAGTTTTCACTTAAATTTAATAGCTATTTTTGCTTCCCATAAGACAGGAGCTCAGAGAGCAAGGCTATGGGTCCAAGCACTTTTGGCTGCTTCACGGGCAGTGTGGGACTGCATCCTGGAAGAAGCAAACCACCCAGACATTTTGCTTCCTCATAACATCAACAAAAAAGAAATGATCCAGCAAAGGCACAGGCACTATCTCCTTGGTGAGGGCATTTGCTGTAAAATGGCCAAGCTATGAGCTGCAGTCTCACATGTACTGTGGTCCTACCTGAATTCCGAGTTCCAGTGAAACTGGGCAGGCGTGCTCCTGACCACTGTACATCCTGCATATTCCTCACATCAAATGCTTTATGTATTTGATTCATTCTCACTTTAGATATTAATGCTGCTCTGCAGTATCATACTACACCCACAGGAACATCTAGGTGCTGAACTTCCTTAGAAGGAACATCAACACTTCATGTAGGAACCAAGCAGCAGCAGCATGGCTCTGCTAAAAATCCTGTCTGAAAGACCTGAGCTCTCCCAAGGCTGCCCAAGAGCTCCTGAAATTGCCTGCTGGTGTCAGGGTGGTCCAAAGGGGCCTGGAAACCTGACTTGGCGCTGTATGAGAAAGACTGAGCAGCACATTGCATTACATCAACAGGCCCTCAATGCTCAGTCCCTCTCTTTTCTAGTTGTAAAGGAAGTCAACAATAAATACAGGTAAAAAGACTACAAAAATAGTGTTCTGTTGTTCTACATCAATTGCACACAGTCTACAATGAATTGGAAGTAGCGAAAGCAATTTATTTTTAAATTAATTTGCTCTCTTTTAGTGCAATGACCAAATAGAGTCTTACTGTATTGAAGTCCCTTTTCTAGAACTGCAAGAAAGGAAAAGGTGATGTTGAATTGCACTTCACACAGGGGAGCTCTGAAACCTTGCATGTCTCAGAAAGTGACTAAGAGCCCTGCAATATTCTGTTTCGAATCAGAGAATCATTTAGGATGGAAAGGACGTCTAAGATAATTGAATCCAATCATTAATACTTCACGGTGTTCACCACTAGATCACATTCCTACGTATTATTTGGGAGAAGAGACCAACCCCCACCTTGTTGCAGCCTCCTTTCAGGTAGTTGTAGAAAGGGATAAGCCCCTCTCAGCCTCTTATTTTCCAGGTTACACAGCCCCAGCTCCCTCAGCTGCAACTTCTATGACCGGGGCTCATGTGATAAGGGGTCCAAGTCTTCCTCAAGCCTGTAGTGTTTAAAAGGTGGCCAGGACTTCGGGTAGAAAATATTCGAAGTGCTTTGGTAGATGCAAATGGAAGGGGGAAAAAAAGCCCCACCTATTCGTTTTGATCAAAGAAAAGGCAGAGTCCCATGTATAGAATTTCTTTCCCTATGTAAAAACAAGCTAACACCACTTAAGCCCACAAAACAATTGCACCTTTAAGCCAGCATGGCTAGCACTTACCTGAACTGGGAATTACTAGGTGGCCTCCTAAGGAGTTGAAGGTCCCAAATGCTGTGCATGATGGGTCAGTTTGCCGAGCAAGGCTCTGGTTCTTCATGTTCAGTGTCTCATTCTCCAGCAGAGACTGTGTAATCTGTGGGGACAGCTTGGAGGAGAAGTCAGAGAGGTCGTCCTGGGGAGTGACTGCACCAGAGGTGTTATAAACCTTGATCTTTAAATTGGGGAGCGGGTCCAGGATTGGCGAGTTGGTCATTGGGATTTTATCAGAGACATCATGCAAGGCATACACAGGACCCCTGTACATGGCTGCAGCAGAAGTGAGGTCTGGTGGCACTGCCAGGAGGTCTGCAGTGGAGATGAGAAGAAAGAACTGTATTATTTCTCTATTCTGATGACTTTATTCTGAGCAACAATTTGGGCTGGCATTTGCATTTTGTCTTTCATTCCAAATGTTCAGATATGCAAAGTCCCTGAACCTTCATCTCCATTTCCATGAATCTCTCCAGCAAACTCCCAGGGTTCATATTGCCCCAGCTGCTTTGGAATCTGATTGCTGTAAAAAATTGCAGCACATTTCTCCTCTGAAGAGCTTTCATTGGGAGTATTTTTCCAGGCTGCACTCAGATTTCAAATATGACATGCTTAGCTTGAGGGCAAGATGTTTTCATCGTTCAGTAGATCTAGTTTTAATGAAGAACCCCACCCTAAACGCTATGCAACAATCATTAACCAATTTATCTAACTGGCCTAAATGACACCATTCCTGAAATAAAAGACACAAGAAGCCTATGAAGTCATCATGTCCATGACTCCCTGCAGTGAGGGATTAGGACTTGCATCACACTTTTCTAAGATTTGTTTTAAAAGTTTCTCCAGCGAAGAAGATGCTAATCTTACATGTAACAACTCTCTTGTTATCTTAACTTTTACAGTGTAGATATTGGGAATAAATAGGAACATTTTAACCTAAATAAGTGTTTTGATAAATGCAGCACTACCTTTAGAGTGTTCTTTCCTGGCCAATGAAGTGAGGAAGAAAAAATCAAGCTGTTATGCACCAGTGATAAAAATATTCATTATTAAATGATGTTCTACCACAACTTCTCTATTTTCTATTAAAAGCACAGTACTTCTCAAACTATTTATACCATTGGAGACAGGACATAGGAAAAAAAGCTACTAGTGAAATAGGGGGGAAGGAGATGTGATAGAATTACTGTAGTATCTCTTCTGTGATGCATCCTGCCCCCATTGTTTCTGCCAGAGCTTTGCCTTTGATTTCAACTTGTGTTGGACTTCATTTTATTTCCATAAAAATGTCTGAGTTTCACTCTCACATTCATGCTCTCCCTTCAGAAGTTAAATTCACCTGCTTTATACTCTTGAGCACAGCTGACAAATGTCATCATGGGTTTTGAGCACTTGACAATCAGAAAAAAATGAACATGATCTTTCTCCTCTTTATCAAGTGTCAACAGGCATCCAGCAATATCATTCACACAGCCCAAAAGACCATAACCTGATAGCATCTCCCTGAATTGGTCAAAATGTAGTGAGATGCTGACTAACCTTGCCTTGCAGCCTTGATGTTGACAGGCTGAAATCCCCCATTTAGTGCTGAGGAGTCGATAATATCCGACTCAAAGTCCCGATGGTTCTTGCGATAGACAAACAGGGCCACAGCTACGGAAATAGCCAGGCACACGATCACGGCGATGACGATCCCCACGTAGAGAGCAACGTCATCCGAGTCAGGAGCAGCTGCAGGGAGAGAGCCCAGGAACCTTCAAGAAATGTCGTCCTTACAGGGACTTTCAAGAAAACACATTCTTATTATTCTCGTTTCCTGCAGATATTTACTGCCTTTTTTATAGGCTAATTTAAAATCCATTTCCAACACCATATAGCAGGTCTATGCCCTTTTGATGGAAAACAATCCTTGATTTCTCTCTAACTTGTGTTCTAACTCTTCCCCTATCCAATTGTTCATCTATCTAATACTCAGGCTATGAACGACTAAGCAAAACATGTTATAGACTTAGTCTTATGAACCAAATTCACCTTATGAAATGAGATAGAATGTCTAAGTGACATAATGTCCTAATATTGGTATTTAGAAGTTCATCTGATACCAAAATCATGTGGGTTTTTAAACTTCAGAAGCCTTATTTTTACTTTAAAAGACGTAAAAGAATCAAAAATTTCCATTTTCTATGGGATATCTGGAATATCAGGACATATCTTTGGTTGGTTTGTTTTTTTTTTAAATGTAACCTGTTATTACTCCCTTCCATCTGTATGCCTTCAAAAATCTAAACTAGTAAATTAGCAAAATAGAGAATCAAGCATTGAATTCTCATCAGTAGCATTAACACATACATATTAAGATAAAAGCTGAAGTAAGCCCAAGAAAAAATGTGGTAATTTACCAAAAGGAACCAAAATTTATTAGAGCTGTCTTGTAAGGAAATAGCTATGATATTTCTACTAGCTACTATATACCATATCTTCAGCACCAATTCCAAGTTAATCTCTAGCATCATTATCCAACAGACATTTTTTCCCCAAAAGGTCTGAATATGTGTTCAAAAATTGATGCATTTCTATACAGTGAAGAATCCCATTTTTAGAAATAGCCTAATGAAAAAAGGAAGTGCTAAAACAAATCAGACTCTTTTACTACCCCATTTTTGTTGGTTTGAAACATGTGAAATCACTTTTATCTCTTTTAGCCATTTAAGCCAAGCTGCCCTCCAGCTGCAGAGGTGAGAGCTAGCTGATGTAGAAAGGGACTGATCAATCTCCCAAGAGCTCTGGGCTACCAGACCTTCAATTTACCAAACTTGAAACATCCCATTTTTAACCCAGCAGTTCAGGAAGCAGAACTCTTGAGTTCCGGCTCAAAGACAAGTTACCCTTCTACCACACTCCTTCCAGTTGCTAAGGGAATTTTAATGAGAAGATGGCTCATTCTCTCTAGGTTCTGCCTCTGAGGCAGCATTCTTCTCCCATTTCCCTTGTGCACAAGGGTCCTTATAATCCTGTGTCTGCTGCAAAGCACTGTGCCTGTTGTCAAGCAAGCAGAATGTCACTTACCCTGCTGAATAGCTCCCTTTTTTGCCTAGTCACACTGAGCTTGCCTAACAGTAAAGCCTGACCCAAGGAACAGCATCAAATTATCACCCAGGAACATAAAATCAAACATTGAACTTACAAGAAAATCCATATTCATTCTGGGTTCTCTGTTCAGTTGAAATAGGATAAATGAAACCTTAAAAAGAAAGAAATTAAACAAAAATGGGAACAAAATCAAATGAGAACAAAAAAATGAAGCATGAAAAATAGTTTAATTAAGAAAAAAAAAAGGAAAAAAGGAAAAAAGGAAAAGAAACTGATGGCACTTTAAAATTCTGATACAGCACAGAATTATGATTTTGCATCCCCTGTCTCCTCCAGAGCCTTACTAAGAATTAATAAGCAGGCAGATTGAATTTCTAAGCCAAAATCGGTCTCGAGTCACTAACTTTGGAGTGCTTAAAGTCTTTCTTTTATTGAGCATAAACTGTAATGGATCTAATTTATTTCAGACATCTAGGGTCATTAGCATATGGAAAGTCTTTTTATCCTTATCCCTGCCATATGCTTTAATTCCCAGGACATGTTCGGTGAGGCTCTAAACAGTTTTTATATTTAATTATAATAGCTTGCTGTTGATCTAATAGAGCTAAAGGAGACCTGTTGTCACTGGTCAAAGGTTAAATACTGATTCGTGGAGCAGTCTATGCACAAAGCCCTCTCTTTGTATTTCCTTGGAATTATTTTATCCTGTCCATAATACATGTTCAATAGGAATTCCTTAGGGAGTAAAGAATTTGTCAGCAAACAGTGGTTTCTCTTTGAAATCATTACAAAATCAATAAGGCCCCTGGGGTCCGAACATTATTTATTTGAAATCTTTGCAAGCACCATATATTGACAAAATCATAACACAATTTACAGCTTTATTTCGGGATGGATAAAGAAGAGATAGTATTTCCTTTGTCTTTTCCCTCTGCAGTCCCCACAGCACAGCACACTGGAGCTGTTTAGCTCACACATGAATCCTGTGAACTCACTAAGCATCTCCCGTGTGGCAAATGAGCGAAGTGGTCCAAGTCCCACCCTGCTGGAAAGGTAAATGACAAATCCCAACTAAGCAGAGGAATCCCATCTGGGATGGGATTAGAGTCAGTGTAAGCAAGAAGGTACCTCTCCTTCATCACCTTCCCTTAAGCTCTCCTGAAGGGAATTTCACCCCCTCCCTTTTGATCACACAGCAAGGAGCTCACACAGCTGGGGACTCCCTGCAGGTGAGACAAAACTGGAAAATGTATTCCTGGTGTGTGCCTAATGCACAGGACCACATTACAGGCAGAACTGAGCTTGGGTGCTCAGCATCTGTTGTGCTCTACACATATCTTGCTGCTTGGCTGTATTTTTTATTAATGAGGACACAGTCTATCCCAGTCACAGGCATAGACATACCTCCTTCCAAAATTTCCAGACATTAACTACTGCATAAATTCTACCAGCAAAACCAGAGCTGATTTTTCATGATGATGGGTTTTTTTCTGGGACATTATAGCACAAACAATGCTGCCTGTAATCTCTGTTTAAAGCTTTACTTCACAGCAAGGACTCCAGCCTTTCTAAAACCAGTGTTTTAAAAATATTATGTTGTTACATTCATTTCCCTGGCTCTTTGAGGCAAGTTCACCTATGCATACTCTCAACATGCATACTCAATCTTTTGTTAATAACTGCCTTCTCTTTCTACTGCTGTAGTTGAGGTATTGGCCATGAAAAGTCTGGTGAGTAACTTCTGAGGGCTTGAGTGAGTGCTCAGTAAGTCTGGGCATTTACAGTACCCTTGTTACTCCCAATTACTCCCCAGACAAGTGCTGAGGCTCATAATTCGGTAAACGTAAATTTCAGCTATAGCCTTATGCCCAATATTTCCTTTGGCAAGATGTCTCTGGAGAGACCACGAGGCAGGCAGAAAGAATTTGAAGGCCCAGGGACAAAGTGGAGTTTAGGCTTGATGCATCTCTGAATGATTTTTTGCCTTGTACTCAAATCCACTGGGAAAGTTGAGGATGTCTCCTTGCACTTCATGTGCCCCAGTAGGTTCTCAGGAGAGATGGAATGGAGCAGCCCACGTTCCCTGGTTCAGCATCACCCATGGAGCTTGAGCTCACCTGTGCGAGCTCAAGAGGCTATTCCTCTCTCCTCACATTGCATCCGAGGTGCTCAGTTTTGTGTTCAAGGTTGTGCATCATTCCTGCCACATCTGAAGGGATCCAGGTACTGCCACTCAACAGGCACAAAAGATGGCACCACCTGGATTAGCTGTGATGTTACTGAAAGCATTCTCTCCTCACAGGAAAATGGAAATCCAGATTCAAGCTTTTTCAGCAAAGTAAACAAGCATGATCCTCAAATATTCTGAAAAAAATTTACCTCACTGCAACCTCTCCACAGAGCCTGTTGGTCACAAATACATATTTGTGGCTCACAAGTTTCCACAAATTCTCTTACTGCTAACTACGGACAGCCCCCTGCAGCTACATGAGAGTGATGCCAATTTCCTCTGCAGAAATGCTTTGTGCACACATTCAAAAATACATCTATTGAAACGGAGGAAGAGGCAAGGATACTACAGGATATTTCTGCCATTTGGGCAGGACATTTTATATCAAAATTAGTTTTAAGCACGCTTTTCCCACTCCTCCAAAAGGGAGTGGGCATTGAAGGGGCAAGGAGGAGGCCTGCAGCCATGCACTGGTGATGGGCAGGAGGCAAGCTTATTGCCACGAGCCCAGCACAAGAGAATGGGCTTTTCTACAGGGAGCTGTCTGTCACACTGGTCCCTCTGACTATGCCTTCAAACAATGAGAAAAGGACATTTTCATCAGATAATGACACAAACCTGCTGGGATTAGTAACAGAAATAATGAAGAATGTCTTCCCTCCTCTCCTCAAAGTAATTGCAGCGAAGAAAAGATCTTTTGTGTGTGGATTTTTTTTCTTCCTCCTTGTATGAACAGCATTGCTTGGCAAATACCTAAGGGACTTCTACTAGGGTGATGAACATTTTTAATGAGTGTGAATTTAGAAAGGTGCTGGAGGGTTTGACTCTAGGAAGGCTGCTGACTCAGAACAGCTGGTTTCACAGTGAGCTACTTTGAGAAAAGTAATTTAAGCTTCTTCCTACAGCTTATTGGGAAATACATATTTTCAAGAGTGCTTCTGCTATTTTGTTGTGTAACTTACTGTTGAATGACTAAAGTAGCAATAATCATACTTTATGCTTGCATAGTGCCTGCTGTTTGAGGTTCTCAAAGGCTTATCAAAATGGGTATTTGTTTCCCTCACTGTACAAGTACCTCGCCCTATGTCAAACCAGGAAAATCAGTGGGAAGCTCAGGTTAACGCACAGAAATCGAATCACTGTAATTGCATGGTAAATGCATTCAGTAAAAGCCTTTAGTTAAGTTAATGTTTCTCCATGTATTCTACTTTATTGTCCAATTTAGGTTTATAAACATATTTTTTTGTCCTTATGGAAGTGTTTCTATCAAGTGTCAAAGGTGGGTTTTTTTAAACTAAATTAATTACACTGGCACAAATCCTTTATACAAATGCAGATGTACTATTAAAAAGGTGCTTTAAGTAGATATTACTTATTTTATTTCTAGAAAGCATGAGAAGAGCAATTTAATCACCTTTATAATGATGCAACACACTGGGAAAAGTAAAGAAGGTTGAATATGTCAGACTGTACTTGAAAAATTAACCAATCCAATGTTGACATATGGAAAAGACTACAGCAGGCTTTTTATCAATTTACTTTAACTCAATTTAAGCATCAGTCACACTTGGCACTGATTTGGGAAATTGTGACCATTTAACTGCATAGATTGTGAAGCTCATTTAATTAGTTTGGTGCAGTTTGTGAAGGCAGATGATCCCCAAACACTGAAGTCTAGGTTGAGCATTGTGGTCCCACCTGCCTTGTTCTGACCTTCTGGGAACACATTTGTGCCAGAGGCCCCGGGAGACAGAGAGGCTGCTCTGTGTCACTGAATAGCCCTCAGCATATCTGCATGTGACTGTCACCAAAGAGTCACCAAAACAACTGTTCCAAGCTCTTCTTCTTCCACTGGGAAAGAATCTACCCCTCAGCACATTCATGGGCATCTATACACACACATGGTGCTCAGCATGGGAACTCAGAGTCATGGCCATGGGCATTCCAAAATCCTGTATTTGACCTTGCCTAGAAAGCCATGGGAATATGCTGCCTTGGCCTGTGAACTGGCATATTTTAAAGAGAATTTTTATCCCTGTGTTATAAAACTCTAGATCATGGCTTCATGCAGAGGGCACTTTGTAACTAGCTCCCCTTTTTGGTCTGTAATTGGTTTTGCTAGCTTTCTAGTCATGCTGAATTTGCATTAATGAATATCAATTTTAGAGTGAATTGATCAGATTATGAAAATATTTTACTCTGCTGCTTGCAGAAATTAAAATATCCACATAACAGAGAATGAAAAACACCCACTTTTCAATTTATTGTTTTCCTGCCTATTTTCCCTCTTACCAGCAACTATATAGGTAAGACAGGTGAAGGAGCTGAAGATGATCTTTCTGGCCACTTATTTACTGGGGTTCATATAGTTTGAGCCACATTTACAAAAATATTTACAATTACCCTGCAAATAAATAGTTTTATAGAATTAGCTGCTGAGGTCACAGTTAATGATACGAAATTTGAGACTGTATTAAGATCAGTGAGAACTGGAGACCTGCACTTTCATTTAATAAAGTGAAGATTGCATAAAGCACACCATAACTGCTAGTTTCTTCAATGAATCATACTTTAATCTGCACCACTTGCTTCTAATCTATGAACGCTCTTTACTCTCTCTGTAGCAGTTTCAAAAAGAGCTGAGGTCAAGTAATTCCATGGTCCTTCTGAAAGCCTAGCCACATCATATCCCTCAAGAACATCTTGTTGCAAAGAACACAACAGGTTGAGCATAACATATTGTAACAGCACTTTCCCCCCTTTTGGCTCCAAAATCAATGCCCTCAAATCACCTCTGAGAAAATAAGATGTCACGCATTCAACTGCTGCCTTCCTTTCTCAGGAAACAGATAAACACAGACTGATTCTTACATGCAAATGCTTAACATTTGAAGGAAGCAGTTCTTGGATGAGTTAAAGTA